AGGATATTCAGAATATTTACTACAAATACATGCCAGACGTATCGGTCAAATGACTTTAATTCGGTATTTAAAAATAACTCCGTAAAATATAAAACCGGAGTAGTTTTGTTGTGCTTGTTGTTAGCTTGATTAAAAAGCCTTAAAAAAAAAAAAAACAATTTACCAACTATTTTTGAGTATGATATCAATGATTTACACCAAATAAATTTAAGAAAAATTAAGATGTATTTTCTTTTGTGATTGCATGCAAACTGTTCTGTAAACCTTTTAATATGTTCGATTGAAATAAAAATAAGGACGGATCCCACAAAAACCCAAGAAGAAGAATAAGCTGACGTCATCCTATGCGACACTTACACTCCGGTGAGTAGAAATCTGCATCTGTCAAAATGTTTTTGTACTCTAAAACCAAAAATAACAACAAAGTGTTACGTTATAAAATTACTGATGGTCGTTTTAGGACTTAATGGCAGTAGGACTGTGATGCGAATGGTTGAAGACACGTTTGTAACATTTTTTTTTGCCGGAAAATATACGGTGGAAGCTAGCTAAATTAGCCTCTTGGAGGCTAATTGTTCCTGTACACTGTACCTGTGCTTAATACGTTTAATTAGCCATGATAGTCACATAATAATGTTTATAGTCATGCTTGTTGTTGCCACTTTGTAATATTGGAGGGTTGCTAAAAACATCAGTGTCCCCAGGCTGTGATGATCTTTAAAGTTCTGATCCCTGTCTGAATACACTGATTGCAGCTAGGTCATTTACTTGAATTAAAAATGAACTTGCGTCAGTACAGGCACATTTCTTTCCTCCTGTCTGTTATTTATTGCTGTTGCAAGCCAGATGAAGAGAAGTAAAGAGCTGAGAACCTGATCTTTGAACAGACAGAGACCATAGCTGAGGAGCATCCAATGATGATACCAGAGAACCACGAAGAGACTATGATAGGGCTTGATTTGGTTCCTGTTTCTCATCCTGTTGTCCCATCCTCTGTCTTTTCAGAAGAAGAAAAGACCCAGAAGCATCTCTCCAACTGCCTCTCCTCCCACTGTGTCATCTCTCCGTCCCCCCCTGCCCGTAGATCTTAAATAACTGTCAACTTTGGCTGTGTGAGTTCTTTGACGTACATATCTCAGAAGGGCCGTCTGACTCTATTCTTGAGTGGTTATGCTATTCAACATTTTGGTGTAACTTGTTAAACACACTTGAATCAACAGGCTGAGGTGCCACCTCATTCATTCTGCATTCAGATCATATGAAGTCCTGGTAACATCAAAATTAATTGAGTGAGATGTTTTGTGCCAGAGAAACACCTAGAACTTGAAAGACACCTAACCTATTCTTGATGCCTGGTATTTGGACACTTATGTCCTTTTTTATGTTTTCTTTTTTTATCTCTCATTTTAAATCATAGTTAAGATCTCGGCTGACAGCTTCCTGAAATGATTTTTGAGCGTGAAGCCATAATATATGAGTTGGATAAGATGTTAAGGAAGGATCCCTTCAAGTGTCAAGCTTGTACCCCAGATGTGCTTTCAGTTTCAGTGGATGGAAATTGCAAGTATTACCATTTAAAGAATGCAGCAATGTATTGTAAAATGTGTACAATATAACAATTCTTTGTATATGTTAGTGATGTTCACTACTTTTGGACTATAACATCTCATGGAGTGTATTTTATTGCTTGTTTTTCAGATTGGAGGAACAGGCTATATTTCAGGACCTTTTCATAGCCAAGGATGAAAACATAGGAAAATTTGTGGACTGTATACGCTCTTAGAGATAGGGTATGAGATATTTGCATAACCCTTGTTCTTTTCAACAAAGGCTGGCCAACAGACAATCACTTTTTTTCCATGTATGTAACATGCAAGTACTGGCCATATCTTGAAAACTAACAAAAAGCTGTCCTGAGCTCCAACACCTGCTTAAAATGAAGCCATTTCTCTCAATTTTCCATGGCAAAGCCCATGAATGTAAGGTAAGGAACACTGACCAGGCATTGAATAACCTTGCTGGTATAACCTTTGACACAGTTGATGTTGTTTGTGCAGATACAGATGGACAAAGCTTGTGCCAAGGCTCATCGCAAGATCAGAAAGGAGAAAACATCTTAGCTTTGGCTTTAGAAGATGTTGGTCACTTGAAGACTGATACAGACACAGAAGTTCTGTCTTTGGAAGAGATCCTGTCCGGTGACACAACATTGCCATGGCAACAATCACACAGTGGTAAGTAAACATACACTAATATGTTTTATACTGTCATCATAGCTGACAGAAATGTGACTAGATACTCCAGAGGTTGACCTCAACTTACAAATTTAAACTTTTAATGAGTTGATTTGTCCTTTTCATAAATGCATTTCTGTCAGTCTTCACACAAGAACAAGGGCAATCGATGACATCATGATGGTGGATGACTGGAAGAGGAAAAGAGGATCTTTGTTGATGGACCATCATTGGAAATCTCTGTCATCCTATGAAGACACTCTAAAGGAGTTTCCCACCTGTTATCGGGAGGTAAATTTAAAAGTATGTTTTTAAGTAATGCATAAACATACCAAAAGTTAAAGCATCTAAATTTTGTATTTTTATTTTTATTTATGTTCAACTTTAAAGGTTTGTCCTGTGCCCTAACTGACGAAGGT